AACTAGCCCTGAATAGGTAACAATGATATTGGAACGTTTCCTCTATAATAAAACACCGTTTTCCTCACTCTTTTCCTTCTGTACTTAAGACTGTTTGCCTCTAACCCTCCCTCCTCGCTAAGCTACAGCAAAATCAATAATCAATAATGGAAATCTGGTGCATTCGACAAAGATTAAAAAATGGAAGAAAAGGTCCAGAGAGCGGCAGGCCTTTCAGAAGCTAACATTGCTTCAAAAAAAGATTTGATATTCGCAGACGCAAGTCAACAGGAAAATGACCAATCAAAAGCACGGCTCTGCTTGCAGGCGTTCCTTAGCTGATAATGACCAATAACACGAGCAAAGGCAGAGCTGACTGACAAGTGCATCATTTAATCCTGCAGCGATCGCAGAAGCTGCTCAATAAGCTCCCTCGAAATGTACTTTATAGGGTGAAAAGGAATTAAATCATGCCAGTAATGAAACAGAGACAAACCTTGACATGAACGGCGTCTCTTCATGGGAACCAAACAGAGCAGAAGAGAAACACTGAGATCAAAGAAGCTGCTGTAATATTGCTAATTTGTGTCAGCAACGGCACCGGGTGGCTTGATGGATGGTAATGTGACTTCAAACATGATACACAATCATTAAAATCAATGGAAGCCTGCCTTCAATTGCCTGGAAACATCGTTTTGAGGCAAATGGAATTTCACCTTCTGTTCTTTTCACAATTCAAATGTCAAAAGTGCAGATTTCTCTTCGCAACTTGTTTGCTTGAGTATCTGAACGATCAGTCAAGCTACCAAAGCACTTTTGGCGAGTGGTGTTGCCCAAATGCGAGTTTAATAATTAGCATCATGGCTGATGATCTTCTCTGCAGAGAGCGCAGCAGCATAGGTATAGCATAGCATAACCTGCTAGGTGTAGCTACATTTCCTAAAGCGAGCAGTTGACGAGCAGTGCCGTCAGCCCACTGGGCCACAGAGGCAGAAGGCCTCCCAGGGCACCATCTTCTGAGGGGGTGCTGGCTTAGCGAGCCGATTTCACTTTGTGTCAGACGGGGGTTGAGGGTGGTGAAGCTGACCTAGGGGCTCTGCATGGACCTCCACTGGCTCTGTGGGTGCTGGAAGACCAGACCGCCGCAGAAGATGCCGGATCAGTGTTTTCGGGATGAAAGGCGGAGCCGTGCCGCTTCACTAAACTCCCCAGACGCACCCTGCAGGCCGGACCTGACAGCACCTCCCTCAGGTCCCGCCCGCACGCCTACCGCAGTGACAACTTCCCCCGAAAAATGCTACACTGGCTGCATGGACGAGGCTCCGGAGGTCCGGAGGAGAGGGGAGGCCCTCAGGCCAGGCAACGTGGCACACTGCCACCCCCACAAAGGGGTGCTGCTCTCTTCAGAAAGCCTCAAATCCCGGCTGCACGGTGCCTCCGGGTCTGCTACTGAAGCCGGGCATTGTTCTCCTGGCTCGGGAAGGAGACCCAGTGGGCCAGCTCAAGCGTAAAGGAGCTGTTGGTTCTGAGGAACTGAACTGTTTCCCATGCCCCCCCCCCCCTACAGTGGATCTTGTACCTGCCCAGTACGTCCTTACTAATAGGCCCCTAAGGCATCTGCCTGCACACACTCTCTGTGTTTGTTTTTCCAACTCTGATACCCGCTACCCAACTACCCTATGGATGCGACCCCGCTCATAACACATGTACTTCAAATTAAAGTCCTATTGATCACCTAACAGCTGGGAATCATGGGGCAATTATGGCATCTAACAGAAAGAGATACGAACCACACACACACCCGGGACAGAGAATAAGCAGATCAGTCTTCTGCCGGCGCTGCGTTTTTACACTGCCAGGTTCAAGTCCCAGCACAAGTTCTGCTGTCGTATCCTCAGGGTTCTGCTCCAGTAAAATATGCAGCTTCTTATGCATAATAAACAGCCAAACTATGCAATTTGACAGTCAGAATACTGACTCTATGGGTGCCGGTGAGATTTTCAGCCCGGCCAATAACCCAGAGGCCACATGCCCAGGGAAGCGTTATTCTCCTAAGCGAGGACCACGGATGTCCCTCATGCTAACTGGCGCCTGTGGCAACGTGCCAGCAGGAGGCGATGGAGAGGCAGAGAACCGCTGAACCCGCAGACAATATGAATCCGAAAAAACACAGTTACAGGGAGTGCTGCAGTCATCTCAAACTCTGCTGGTGCCAATTTCAGAGGCCCTTGCAATGACATAGATGTTAAGGAAAATGTAAAACAATCATATTTTCCATCAATCAGAGCCACAATATACCACTAAAAAAGACCAGCAGCAAATCCCTTAACCCCATAAAGATACTTATGCTCATATATGCACTGTTCATTAGCATTAACATTGAGCAATTACTAGAAATAGTCAGAGGTAGGCATTTTTTCCTCTTTTTGAACTTGAATGTAAAGGCCTGGTATGACATGTGTAAGAGAACAACAACAAAGGTCCCCGAAGACTTTGCTTCTTTTCCTGCTTTTAGCCAAAGGCCTTGCAGTTTTGTCCAAAATGTGGCAATGATGCCACTGTCAGGACACTCTTGGCTTGGCTAATGTTCTTAGCTTGGCTAACAAAGGGCTCCTCACTTGACTAATGTTCTTAGCTTGGCTAACACATAACTGCTTGCTTGGCTAATGCTCTTAGCTTGGCTAAGGCAGGGCTCCTAACTTGGCTGATACTCTTAGCCTAGCTAACACAGGTCTCCTCACTTGGCTAATGCCATTAGCTTAGCTAACACAGGGCTCCTCACTTGGCTAATTCTATTAGCTTTTCTAACACATGGCTGCTCTCCTAGCTAATGCTCACCAGGCTAAAACTGATATAGAAGCAGAGCCTTGTGAAACAGGCCTTGAATGGACCGGGACACGACTCCACATCTGGGCTGTCCAAGGGGGAAGTGAAGACAGCCGATGGATCGTGGCACAGGCGGTAACGTAAATGTTTGACGGCAAGCGGGCCGCGGGCGGGGCATGGCTGTTAGCTATTCTCAGAAGAGTGATCAATAACAGAGGAACGCGAAAGGTCTGCGGCTCCAGGACCATCGCTCACATGGCGGACGGCTGTCTCGCCCCAATCCTCCAGGCACAAAACGTCACGCCGCATGAGGAAGCAAATCGATAACCTTCAACTATTCCCAACGCAGCATTTATATTCATCCGTGCCCGACTATTTCCTGCATCCCATCTTCCCATCGAGCCTCCTTACCCCATAGCTAACAGAAGCGATACTCCTTTAACAGTTTATTTGCTACTAGGTGCTAAAATGACTTAAAATATATATCCACCCAGGGGGTAATTCCGTCAAGCTGTTTGCACGGCTCTCCACGAGATGTAATTCACATATCTGAAAACAAAATCGCTATGTAGGTTTGCACATATATTGTGCAGACGTGCGATTCAGGTGTTCAAAGCACCTGCAGGCAGGACTTTAAGATTTCAGGTGCTGAATGGCACGCCTTCCAGTAATTACACACAAAAGTGTTGCCCAAGGAGATGTGGCCATCAATGGACTGAAAGACATCCACACAACAGCCGGTGCTGCACGAGCTCTGAGTGCAAAGCAGAGGATGGAACCTTCTAGGTGCCTTCAAACAGGTTAGACCTACTGTGCATCCTGTTACAGTTGGGCGATGCAGCAAATGATTTATTTAAGGAATAAGTGCAGGTCTCCATAGTGAATCTCTAAGTTTGATGTGATGGTGAACCTTGACTAAATGAAAAACTCCAGACGGAGTGAAATGTTTCGTCCTTGCTTGTATATTTTTACCATGCCTGTGGCAAATGTAAAACTGCTTCCAGACATTAAAGTGAAATAATTACTGTACGACTGCTCTGGATGTTGACAACACATGCTGGCAGAATTCACAGTTAGACTAGGTTCCTTAAAACGTGTCAGACTGAAAACTGACAATGCTGCAAATCACAACAGCTGACATAATACTTGGCATGCAAACATTTTAAAAGGTATAAACTGTTTAAATGCATTTGATTCACCAGGATATATCTGTTATTCTAAGTAACGGTAAACATCTTAGCTACTTTAAACCATAATGACAGTAAATGACAGCTTTGGATAATTTATGTTGATCTTATTTAAAAGAAGTCTAACAACCATCACTATAAAATCTTTCAAATCTTTCACTGTATGTTTACATATAAATTCAACAAATGGAATTACATACTAATAAGGACAACTGACTGACAAACCGGTTACATTATTTTGGAAGGAGAATCGCATTTTGAGTTAGATTACGATGGGATGTTTTAAAAAGACAAAGCATGAGCGAACCAACATGGCGGATGACGTGAGTGAGAGAGTGCGACAAAGCATGAGCGAACCAACATGGCGGATGACGTGAGTGAGAGAGTGCGACAAAGCATGAGCGAACGATGCCAGACGGCGAAGCGTGAGCATGGGATGAGCATGTGACCCCAGTGCTACTCCTAACCTGGGGTCAAGGGGCCGAGACCTTTAACCTCAACTATAATAAATTATGGTTGCTCATTACATAGCATTAGAGGTCATTTCGTATCAGTGATACCATTTCACGTTATGGCTTGGTAATAAAAACCGCGGTTAATATTAAGGACAAATTCCAAGTCATGTTAAGTGCAGAAAGCCTGTGGCCTCATTTTAGGCTCAGATCTCTAAAAGCACACATTTCAAAGCATAATTAATTAAATCACATCCTCCATGATGTCACTGCATACTTGGATCAGAGCTGAAGAACTGTGGAGCTTAAAAAGCTGAGAATATATATATGTATGTATATATATTTTAAAAGCAATAAACCAACACGGGGCCGCTGTGTTAGACGCAATGCATTTAGCAGCAGAATAGCAGCGAGTTCCGTCGCTGTCTGAGGATGCACAGACGGCCATAAGGGATCCCCAGAATGTGATTTCAGGAACTAAAGAAGCCATTGAACCAAGGAGCAGGGGGGGGGGAACAGAGGATGAGAAGTAGAATGTAAATAAATGCTTGATTACTTTGTCATTCTTTTCTCGGCTTGATTTTGATTCCAGACAAGGAATTCGGGGTCGTACCTATCGAGAGACAGGCAGAAAGAAGAGGGTAGGTGTCTAGGAAAAAATGGAGCTTGACAGAAAAAAAAAATATAAAGTAAATCCTAAAATCAATCCATCGTGACCTCCTCCGCCTGCACTCTCATTACCACACACATTTACTTAAAGGCATGCATCAGTAAATGGCAATAAATGCAATACATGAATAATTAATATACTAATAAACAACTAAATGGAATAAGTGGCATAAGGTTAACTGTGCATGTTATAAAATACATACATCAGCCAGCGAATGTAACCCATTAGAGGTCAGTGCAGTTATTCTAATATTGCATTAATATTATCATTATATTCATGCAATATAATCATAATATTAAGACTATGTTTTCCTCGTATAGCTCAGACAACACTAATGACAGAATAAACATTAGTGTTTGTGTAAAGTTTATAGAGAAATAATAAATCTGACAGAATGAATAAACAGAATGTAAACACTCTCTAGTGCTTTTTGCTAAAGCTCATATCACATCTCCGGAACTGTAAGCAATGTGTAAATGGTTTCTCTAAATGGTTTTTTCTAAAAGAGCCATTCGGTTCAAATAGATTATGTATTTTTCATATATATATTTTTGTTTTTATCAGGATTGTAGTCATATTATCCTGCCTTATGTTGTCATTCATTTTTGTTTTCATAAAGCCTTTTACCCAAATGTGGTATTAGCAAGGACAGAGTCATTTGGTGCGTTATATATGCTACAGTATATACTGTACAGTGACAAGCCTGGATTACTTTGCGGTGAGTACAGTGACAAGCCTGGATTACTTTGCAGTGAGTGTCTACAGCCACTGGGGTAGTTTTCTCACCACTGTATGAATCCTCATCTCAACAGAACAATCTCCCCTGTCCCTCTGAGACACAAACACGGCTGTATATTAGAAGCATACACACCACGCCCCCCTTTCTGATTGGTCAGTTCAGCCTTCTGCGTATATGCATAATAAGACGTATCCACAACTATGCCGTGCAAACAGAGTCAGCTGAGCCACTTTGGCTGTGCTCACATTCGCACAGCTGCGGCCGGCTGGATCCCACTGGAAGAGGATATGCAGTCTGGTGTGAAAAGCATCTTCCCACTGACTTGTAAGACATTTTTCAAATCAGAGTAACATTCTTGTGAATTTGCTTTAAACCCACTTCATTATTTAAGACTAATTAGTCGGATGAGCAAACACGGCTAACATTTTGATGCTAACAGCAAAAACTAATCTGTGAATAAGAAGTATGGTGAAGGATTTAAATTGTCCCATCTGCCTGGCGAACTTAAATCTGGATGTGATATTTATGTTTTTATTTCACGTTTATACCTTGCATACAGAAATGAATTCTACTGACTGAAATCAACACATAGGGTAGATGAAGGCGTAAATTACCAGTCCAGCAAAAAGCTGACTGAAATACAGAGACGGCATTAAAGAAAATGAATTCTTTCTTTAAGTTTCTTTTAACCAATAAAAATTCACGAACATCAGTGGGGTGAATGGAGAGTGAAAGTCCCCCGGAGAGAGAGTGTAGGCGGTGACGGTGGAGCTGGCCGTGCCGATAACACGTTTCGGTAAAATGCTTTATGATCTCGGGCCCTGGCGATCTCCGCATAAAAGCTGGAGAGAGGTCAAAGGTCAGCGTGTACCACACGGCTCCGTCCTGCACCCAAGGCTGTGTCTCTCTAACAACTAAGGCCTCTGACTGTTCCTTAATCACCTGACTCCCCCGATTTCGGACCCCCGTGTGACCGCGTGCGTACAGTGCCCTCCGCTCACCTGGGATCCTTCTGGATGCTGTCGATGGAGGGCGACCTGGCCAGCGTGGCCTCCGGGGGCAGCGTGGGGCCCGACTTGCTGTATGGGGAGTCCGTGGAGGGGCAGAACTGCAGCGTGCGGTACGGGTCGGCGTAGGCGGCGGTGGCGGGCCCGGCGGCGTAGCTGCCGCGCTGGTAGGCGCCGCTGGTGGCGTTCTGGCTGCCCGTGCGCTGCAGGGGGGTGGGGTCCACACCAGGGGAGGGTGGGGCTACGGTGGGAAGGTAGGGACAGAGGAACAAGGTCAGGAGCTGCTCACAGAATCGACCCACGGGGACTAGCAACGTGGTAAAGGGGCGGAGACCAGGATGCCAGCATGATGAAAGGATGAGAGAGAAGGAGACAAAGAAGGAGGGAATGAGGGAGACAGAGGAGCATGATCAACGTCAGAGACAGACAGAAAGTCAGAGGCTGACATAGCAGAGGCGTCCAATGGGCATGGACACCCTGGCAGATTCAGGGCGTCCCGCACTTTGCAGGGTATCCCCCCCGGGCCTGAGCTGGCAATGTGTCAGGGGGCCCAGAATTTGTAGCTGGGCTCCTGTACCAAAGTATGGGGAGCGGCATTTGGTTTCTCCTTAATGTTCCCAATGCAGCATTTGTTTACAGGGCAGGTGGCGCTGAACTTAAGCCAGGGAATCTGCAGCTGAAAGGCTAGAGGGTCCATCAGTGGAAGTGCTCCTGCCATCAGTGGAAGTGCTCCTGCAGGGGGCGCTACAGCGAGGCCTCTAACATAACAGCAAAATCACGTATATAAGCAATACAATAAAAAAGCACTCATGTTTCAACAGTGAAAATGCTGTGCAGAAAGCACCAATGGAGCATAACATGCTGATAAATAATTAATGGAAAATACATCTGTGAAAAACCGCGAAACAATGAAACATGGACCCTTATTTGCGCGCTGCTTTTATGTATAATTGATCACATTATCGAGCTCTTGAAATGAATCGAAATATAAAAGTGCAGCTGGAGAAATGGCAAGAGAGGCGCGCACGGACAGCGCAAGGTCCGCTGGCCAATCAGCGCCGCGCTTTCACTTTTAAATTCCCACACTGAATTAACCGGGTATGTTGTTGAGATTATTGCTTCCCGGTGAGACCAGAATTCAGATTTCGAGAAGAAAATTAAAATGGAAATAATACATGCAGCTGCCGGGAAATTATTCCTCGGCTCCGTGTCCCATCTCCCATAAAATATAATTATTGCCTGTTGACTGGAGGGGACAGTGACTTCGAGGAGCCCACTTTAAAGCTGACGAGAATGTTGCAGAGGACAACAAGCTGTAACGAGCTTTTCTTGCGCGTGTTTATTCCTAGCCGCTGGCTGGTGCGCGGCACGTGTTTAAAGAGACCCGCACGGCAGCATCGACTGCTTGATGCTATGTGTCAGCGAAATAGTGCTTCTAGCTTAATACCAACATCCGCTCCCGGTGGACCCGTGTCGCGCGATGCGGCGATCGACGAGAAACAGAGGCGAGCTGAAAACAGTTTAGATGAAATGCGTCTACCTGGGGAAAATGTTTCGATTGGACGTTTTTTGCCCTGAAAGACTGTGATTAATTCAGAATGAACCGACGGTAATTAGGCCAGGATGGAAGATAGATGGATAGGGTGGCATGGGGAAGGTTCCGGAGGGTGTGATGGATGAAACTGAGGGAGGAAGGTGTGTTACGGTGCAGGAGGCACAGAGGCGGGTAACCGCTCGACGTCCAGTCCTGCTGGCAAACCAGCAGCAAACACGTTACACACAAAGAGGCGCAAACACGTTACACACAAAGAGGCGCAAACACGTTTGCCTGCTAATGCTAACCTGCTAAAGTCTGGATCCGGCACCATCTAACCAGCAGTGTGTCATCACTCAGGATGATGTCAGACAGGCCAGCATACATTTCACAAGGAAGTACTGAGCAATAGCTGCTAGCTGTCCAGAGTGATGGAAATTTCATGCATTTATACAGCTGTATATTTTACTCTATGTACCGAGAGACCCTAGTGTTCTGGAAATGTGCACGTATTTCTAATTTATCGTTATACTCAGAGAAGTTCAGCCTCCAAAGGCAGCGGATACCTCAGGACAATTCAGAGGCTAGATAATTACCCATCACATGGGCATCTCCCTGATCATGAACTTGGAGAAAGAATACACACACACACACACACACACACACACACACGCGCGCACTCTCACACACACACACACACACACGCGCACACACACACGCGCGCGCACTCTCACACACACAGACACACAGACACACACACACAGCATGCACACACACACACTCTCTCTCTCTCTCACACACACACACACTCTCTCTCTCTCTCTCACACACAGACACACACACACACACAGCATGCACACACACACTCTCTCTCTCTCTCACACACACACATGCAAACAACAAGATATTAGACTCCACACCTCATCTGAAACTGCAGAGTAGCTGGGAACAGGGGACATTTCCCTTTCATCATGGCCTACAACAGCTTTTTAGCAATCCTGTTTTCAGCCTCACTAAAAGCTAATGAACTCCTCCTTGTGAGAACTCCTCAGAATGAAAGGCGGCGATAAAGGTCGGCACTCCACAGCCTTGATCTGTCTTCCCCTGGGGGGAATAATCAGCTCAGCTACTATCAAACAAACGCATAAACAAAAGAGCAAACGATGCACACAACAAAAGAGAGATGTTGTTACTGCTTGGCTACTTTCTAACAAACAAAAGAGCAAATGATGCATAGGGTGAAAAAGAGATGTTATTACTGCTCGGCTGCTATCAAACAAACATAAACAAACAAGCAAATGATGCAGAAGAAGAGAAAGATATTACTACTGCTTGGCTGCTATAAAGCAAACCCATAAACAAAACAGCAAACGGTGCACACGGCGAAACAGAGATGGTATTACTGCTCGGCTGCTATCAAATAAACATAAACAAGCTAATGATGCACACAAAGAGAGAGAAAGATGTACTACTGCTTGGCTACTATAAAGCAAACCCATAAACAAAACAGAAAACGGCGAAAAAGAGATGTCATTACTGCTTGGTTATTATCAAACAAACATAAACAATAGAGCAAATTATGCACACGAGGAAAGAGAGATATTACTACTGCTCGGCTACTATCAAACAAACACAAACAAAAGAGCAAATGATGCACACAATGAAAGAGGGAGATGTTACTACTGTTCCCCAGAGACGAGAGGAGCCAAAGTAAGTGGTCTGATGAAACACAGAATACGGACTAAGAACATTCAAATGCCATTTAAATGGATAAGATAGCAACTCATTTGATGACTTGATTAAGGACAACACCAAAAGCATGCATCTTCGCTCCTTGTTTGTTCTTCAAGTGGGTGAAGTTTTATTTACAGACCAGGGGATGGTGTGTGGCTTAGTGTTCACAGGCTGTGCCTGTAATCAGAAGGTCCTCAGTTCAAATCCCAGCGTCCGCAGAGTGATTTTACTGTTGAGACCCTGAGCACAGCTCTTAACCTCCAATTACCCCCCGACTGGCTGACTAACCCTAACCCCACTTTCTCAAAAAATGCGTCACCTTGGATTAAAGCATCTGCTAAATAAAAATGAGAAATATTGTCGTGCTTGAGCGCGTATTGGCGTGCATTCCGATTGGCCGTCCAGGAACACCTCGCAGAAGTGACTTCAGAATGCCTGTCCACGTTGATGCTGAGGTTCCCCGACATGACAAGGAAGTGGCTCTGATACACCAACCAAACTAATGGCTGTTAAAACATCATTCTGATTTCACACACCTAGTTTCATCACGTTCCTGTAGCTCTACAAGTAAAGCACGCAGAGGTTGTGGGTTCAAACCCCAGATGGCACATTTAGTGTGTAACCCTTCCATCTAGTGTACGTCACTTTGGATAAAAGTGTGAGGTAGATGTTCCCCTGAATACCTCCCTATATCCCTTCCTCTAACACCCCCGCCCTCCCCAACCTGGCAATCCAGGCCTCAGTGGAAGATGTGACAATTTAGCAGAACTTAAATGATGCCAGACCTCTCACAGCCCAAACCCACTCAGGCAGTGGCGTGTACCACACCCCCTTTCGTTACAGAGAGCACCTCAGTCTGGATGCTGAATTGGTCAAAGTTTTTAAATCTTAAGTGAAGAACTATTACGTTAGTTTGGCTTACCCACAACCTAGCACATAACACACCATATATATGGCTGCTGGAGCTGCTCTACGTGCCATTTTTATCCACTATGATTGTCCATTAATGTGTCAATGCATGATCTGACCATTCATGCTCTCTGCCCTCTTTCCCAAATGTCTGGATGGTGACCGGGGCATCACTTCGTCTTCCCATTTCCCTGTCTTTAATTTTTCTGTATAAATGATGCGAGAATGTATCACAACACATCCATTAAAGCATCTTAGACTGATAGGCTCTATATAAAATAAACTGAATTCAATTATCATGCTGCATTTTGAAAGCATGACTACAGGCCCTCGGTTCTGGCCTCTCACTCCATTCTCTACATTTCCATCGCTGAGGAGCCAAGAGATACACAGCTAATCACACTCTGGCCCTGACACAGAGCACCAGGGAAGAAAAAAGAGTCATGAGCTTCTACAGGGTAGGTTTTATTGTCCACACTATCACATAATGCCACACAACACAACACGACTATCCCTAAACCCTAACCTAACCATAAAACTAACTCTAAACCCTAACATAACCCTAAACCCCATCTTAACCATAAAACTAACTCTAAACCCTAACATAACCCTAAACCCCATCTTAACCATAAAACTAACTCGAAACCCTAACATAACCCTAAACCCTATCCTAACCTAACCATAAAACTAACTCTAAACCCTAACTCTATGGAGAAATTGGGGTTAAGGGTCATGCTCAGGGGTGACATCATAGGTGTCCTTCACAGGCAGAGTGCCCCAACCTGCTGAGTCACACTGCCCACTGTTCTGGACTGCAGTGGATGATGGGAAATGTAGTCAACTAATTCAGATCATATTTTACATGAGAAGCATCAAGTAAGAGGCTTTCCATGTGAGCGGATGGGCAAGCCTGTATCTGCAAACATCAGGTAAATCACCGCCCAGGGAGTGACAGCATATCTGGAGCATACAACCACTTCTCTCTTGTCTGTACATAACACACAAAAGTTTCTTGTCTGAAAACTGTACAGCTCAGTAGTGTAACCAACTAGCCTAGAGCGGGTGGTGAGTTAATCTGTCAGACATCACTATTAGATTAAATGTCCTCTGGGACACAGCTTTCTGACAGAGCTTGCTTTCTAAACAAAACTAAGTCAGGCTTACCAGGTAAAACACAGGATCAACCACTAGGCTAAAAGTATCAGAATTACAAACAATTTTTATTTTTGATTCAGGTTTGATTTTCATGCAGAAATTTCTGTCATTCCTATATTTTGTTTAGGGCGGTTCACTGTGAAGGAGGAAACGTACATCAGTGTATGAAAGGCGCTATATAAATAAAACTATATAAAGAATCCCACACTCCTGTTCTTTCCCTTTTCAATTCCTAAGTCTAAATATGACGGTCCAGAGTGAAATCACGTCACATGTACATGGAGCTGTTCATCATACGTCCAGCATGGACCTCAGGATCTTCATCTATCCCCACAGAAAGGCTTTCAAAAGCTTCTAGTCCCAACTGCAGATAAATCACATGCATCGACGCACACCAGCGTCGCCAAGCTGGATGCGGCCGCATTCCTGCGCATGGTGCCATAAACGAACTCCAGCCGCTGCTATTTTGACTGTTCAGTCGAGCCGTTAGATGGACTTATTTCACAGCTGGCAGGTCGGGAGCCGCGCCGTCTTTGGAGAGCGAAACGCGGCGGCGTGATCGCAGGGCAGGTCGGGAGCCGCGCCGTCTTTGGAGAGAGCGAAACGCGGCGGCGCGATCGCAGGGGGACGCGCTTCCTGCCGAGCTACAACTGTCCTTCCCACCGGAGACGGATCCTTTCATTAGTGAGTCGGTGATTAAAATAAGGCAGTTTAATGGCTGCAAGCGTGCAGTTAACGCAGCTACGTGGCAGTAACCACAAAGTTTCAGCCGGGCACACGGTGGGCACACACGCCTGGGTCTTTCCAGGAGCCTGACGGGCGCGGCTTGGTCCCAGTTCGGTGTATGTGGAGCATCCAAGTTTACAAACATGCAGTGAGGTGAAATTCAGTGTTGGGCAGTTCAGGTCCAACCCTGGATGGGATCCAGTTCATGACAGGGCAAGGGTGATACACGCACTATAGAGAAAGTAAAGTTACATTTCACCAGTGTTGGGCATTTCAGGATAAGACGGGCAGGGTGTGGTACAGGGGGAGGGACGGGGATGTGAGACACGCACCTTTGCCGTCCCTGACAATCACCCAGAAGCAGCCGCTGCCGCAGTAGGGAAGCGTGTCTCACATCGTAATGCTCCCCCAAATCCCGCCCTGTTCACTCTAAGCTTCTCTGCAGGTGCTCAGCAAGCTTTTTAGGAATAAAATCTCAAGCTCCGACGCCACTGCATCACAACTGCAGCCTCTTTGTTTGTGAACGCAAACATCAGGTTTCAGTCTAAGAAATAGGTGCATCACTCCATTATTCGCTCACGCTGCCCTCCCCACCCTGGGGCCACCACACCAGTGTCCCCTGGAGGTTAGTGGGCTCAGTTAATTGCACTAATTGCACAGGAAGCTCAATACCAGATGAAATATATAATTGCCCAGAAATATCAACAAGTAGGCGCCTATGGATCTAAATGACAGACTTTATACCCTTTTCAGGAAAGGATAAAACGATCCCATTGGACTAATATATTAGACATTGGCCCCGCCTTCCTCAAAAGCCTCTGCTCTCACCTTTCCCATCGGGGTCCTCTGTGCTATACACACACATGATGAATGTGCTGTAAGTCCACAGCTGCTGGTGCGATAGAAAAGAGTTATGTCAGTAATATTACAAATAAAGCAAACAACCCGCCATGGGCCCTGTACTTCCAGGAGGGGGCTCGAGACCCCCGAGGCAGCAGTGTGGCTCAGTGGGTGACGCTGGTGCCTCACACCTGCATCTGTACTTCCAGGAGGGGGTTCGAGACCCCCAAGGCAGCAGTGTGGCTCAGCGGGTGACGCTGGTGCCTCACACCTGCACCTGTACTTCCAGGAGGGGGTTCGAGACCCCCGAGGGAGCAGAGTGGCTCAGCGGGTGATGCTGGAGCCTCACACCTGCACCTGTACTTCCAGGAGGGGGTTCGAGACCCCCAAGGCAGCAGAGTGGCTCAGCAGGTAGTGCTGGTGCCTCACTCCAGCTCTTTACAGGTTGAGTGTACTGTAGCTTGGAAGATTATGGCTCCGTGCCCATGTTTCCAAGGTTGTGGATTCAAAATCCCTTGGCTGAAACGGTAATCATACCACCATGGGCCCTGACCCACACTGCCCCAGGACACTGGCTGAGCAAAAGCATCTACAAAATACATGCATGAAAGTGGATACGTCATTATTTGAAGTACGGAGATTCTTATTCCTATTATCACCACATTTTTGTTTGCTATGCTAGTTTTTTTAACGTCGATTAAAATCTTTATTCGGCAGGAAAAGGAATCTGCCATGGTCACACCACCACACATGTGATGTCATCTTAAAGCCATAATTGTCCTCTTTAAGGGACAACAGGACATAATAGGTTGGCATGTACAGTATGAGAGAAAGAGGGACAAAAACGAACCACAGGATCTCAGAGCTTATACGGCTTTTTTTGTACTCTGTTTAGGGACGTTCCCCAGTCAGACCAAGCGCCTGGCTCATTAAACGCAGCCAGGAAATGCCACGGGCAACCTTGGGCTCCAGGCGAAGAGAGGGCGGCCAGCCAGCCCGGAGGAAGGGAAAGTGTCCCATTAAGGAGCCTTTATAAGACCCCATAAAAGCCTTTAATGCATTATTGGGGCATCTGAGATCAGTGACAAAGAGCGTTAAGCGCCGTTCAGACCGACAGCCTTGTAAAAAAGCTGACTTACTGAACACGGCTGCGGAGGAATGGTGTTCCGAGCTCTGAAGGCAGGAAACGAAACGCTGAACACAGAAGGAGTAACGGAATTGGGGCATACGGCCATAAGCCAAGACGAAACGGAGGGCAGTGAAGGCATCTGTAGAGGGTTATCGCTCACGTGGGTTTCAAACAGCACTCTCTTTAAGTTCACTTGTGTAGCAGATGCTTTTTGACTGTCAGTCTCAGTACCAACCAGGGCTAAGGGTCTTGCTCATGGGCTCAATGGCAGCATCACTCTGCCAACCTGGGGATTTGAACCAACAATCTTCGGGCTACAGCTAACGAGCCAAAGGCAGAACTACTCTTGTCCCAGATGTGCGGGAGTACAAATGCTGTATGTTCCATACAAGTTTAAAGGAAGCTTGACCGAATCCCCTATTTTCTTAAAAAAGTGTTTATTTTATAGCACTCCATTCAGAGTTACACGCCATGACATAAATGGGGACATAAGTCAAAATAAAAATACACTGATATTTTTATACCCGAGACTTCCAGAAAGCGTACTTTGGTCCACAGTTATCCATCTGCCTCTTTTCCAAGAACCGCTCAGCCGATGCAGAGTCACAGCAAGTCTGGAATCTGTTGCAGGCAGCACTGGGCAGAGAGCAGGGAACAGCCTGGACGGCGAACCCAACAGCGATGGGGCTCCAAGCCCAATGCTACGAATTACTACCAGCAATTTCATCAAGCTATAAACATTTTATGAGATTTACAACTATTCAGTTAGAGATTTCAAGCTACATTGCATACCGTTAAATATTTTGAAATACATACTACTGTCAAACTCCATTTGAAAATTGTTTTTTTATTTTTACTAAATGGCATGTTTTTTTATTTATTGAAATGTGAATTGATTTTTTAGAAGGTCACCCTTTTGCTCTGATTCCTCCTGGTCTGGCAAACTGTTTTTGTGATTTTAATGGGTGTCGACGGGGATTCCCCAGTTCTCCCGAAGAGGGTTTTCCTGTACAGTGTGAGTACTGTACATGGGTCACGATGGATGTATCGATTCTGTAGAGACGAATCAATTCAAACTCTGTGGATTTACAATTGCCTGTGATTTATTATTCCTGTAAGGGGCACTGCAGAGCTCGGAGAGATGTGATCGATGGATAACCTCATAAATTCCTCTGATGCATCACAATGAAGGAAGACGGCACATTCTAATACTATAGAATAATGCTGCAAGGTAGTGCTTATAGAATATCAACATGGCTAACAAAGAGTATGACGCTGTAGTGATGCTGCTTATAATTAAACCAAATTAACGTCTCAGGTAGTCGTATTTGTAAGCTGCAAAGAAATAGAGACTGAAAAACAAGGAGCTGTTAATGGGCTTAGCGGCCGTATAGCGGGGGAGCGAGGCTAGCTACACGACCTACCGGCGCGAGAAAAGTTTTTTAATGGCCATTTGCGGCGGCCTCACTTTCCTCATGTGTACGGACCCCTGGAACTCAGGCCGAGCGATCCGTCCAGTTGATGAAAGAGCCTGCTCCGCAAATTTGCACGTGACGATAATGAGGAACTGAGCCATTACTTTAATCATTATCCCTCAGAGCCGGGAGACATTTAGCAGCGTGCGAGGCGGCGAGGGGAGAGGTAGCTAGAAACCAGGATTTATGACCTGTTTCTGCTGGGTCCCCCAGGAAGACGCGGCACCTAACCTCAGTAAACAGCCACATACAAATTAAAGATAGAGCTAAAAATATGACGGTCACTTTGTTAGTGGCCCCCTGGCTGTGCTGCTGCTGAAACTGAAGGTAATTTCCTGTGTTACTTGGCGAGGGGATGGAATACACCAGCGTTGGCTTTGCTGTGTCTGTGGGCTCACCTGTGTTAGTGTGGCAGGCTCACAAACTCACCACTGCTGGGTTACTAGACAATGAGGCTCAGTGACCAGTGAAGGGAGCCCACCTTTGTTGCAGATAGATTTCCTGTGGTGGTGCAACATGTGAGAGAAACCTACTGTGATTGTGTTGGTGACCTAGGTAAGCGAACTTACCTGTGTTGGTGTACTAGGTGAATGGGCTTACTGGTGCTGCTGTTTGAGAGAGCTCACCTGTATTGGTGCGGTAAGTCCCCGGCTGCAGA